AGCTACAATTTTCTTAGTAGCGTCATGCTTCGGAGACCGGGCTAAGCTCTCGTGTAAAGGACCACTCGACTCAAAAGCATCTTGCGAGTTATCGAGTGCAATTTCTGATTTAGTCACCCAGATCACATGCTTGTGTTATGACGCCTTAGAACATAATTCTCTTGGCACCTACGTTTAATCAATTTTATCTTGTTTTTCTTTACCTTTTATCACAGAGAGCAGAATTTGAGTTTAGAGGAATCGTGGAGTTTATTGTCTTTGTTTGAGAAATCACACAGAGGACGAATAACAAAGGATCTTGATCTGGAAAATCATGGTAAGTTGTTTCGTGTGCGCAGTCAGTCCAGTTGCTAAATAGCGAGTTTACTTACCTCGACTATTTTGTATAGACAATAGTGGCTTTGGCTGAGTTAATAGGGGAGGTGTCGAGGATGAAAATGTACCGTTCCTGTGTTGGGTGATGTGGGATTTTTTAAATATCTTTCGTCATTGTTTTTTTCAGGTGATGCTCTAGATGAGATGTTATCAAAAAGAGAAGAACACATTCAGCCAATAACAGAACAGTCTAAGGAGATCGATGAGAGGTACTTCAGTATAATGTAAAGATTGAATTCCCAATCTCTAATAGGATGGGAAGTCTGGTCCAAGTTGTGTGATGTTGGAGAAGACTAACTTTTTAATGCAGACTTTATGTCAGCTAAAAGTTAGTTGTGCGGATGAAGTAAATTTTGAAGAACGTTCGTTTCGAGCCCTTGGCTCGCGTTGGTGCAAATCTGCGAAGAGTTTTCCTTAATCGCTATCTCTGGCAATTAATAACTGCTTATATCGGGTGTGAAGCCGAGGATCGTTTACAGTTGTAAAGTAACTTGGACGCGTTAGAACTCTGAGTTCGTGAGCGTGTCTTAGCTAGGTTATGGCAGTTTTGAATCTGTTTGTTTTGGCACCGTTTATTTGGACGATTAAATGCACTAATGGGTGTAAGAACTTAACATGTTTTCGTTTTGAGCAAAAATAAAACAATACGTAGTGTTCAAAGTGTTCGTAGTCAATTCATGCAGTTTTCCTTAATTTTGGAATTTGAGTTGATTTTTCTTTATATAGTGATCATAATTACTCTGATGGTTATTTCCTCAGTGGTTTGACCGATTTAGAGATTCCAACACTTCCCAGAGGAAAGCAGTTAGTGATCTACATCAAGAACACCTGGGGAGACAGAAACTACGTAGGACTCAATGGAATTGAGGTGTTCACAGATTGTGGTAAACCTGCAGAGATTATAGAGGTTAGTGATTGTGAGACTGGCAAACTAAGTATTTGTTATCTCAGTGGGTAATGGTACTAGGTTTTAGTGACAGGCGATTCAGGAAACAATGTTTTCTTTTCAGAGCATGACTTATTGAATTACAAACATCAGCTACTATATTGTTTTCCTAGCTTTCTAAAGCAATGGTTTGAAAGCTGTTTTTAGATATCCAAGGAAACCGTAGTATTCTGACTACTTATTTTCATTCAGTTTTGTTCCCAAGCTAAAGTCGAAAAGTTTTATTATTCGCAGTATTTTCTTGAAATTGATTGGTTAACTTTGATAAGTTAGCTGAATCTCATTGGCTAAATACATATTCCACTTGAATTTCCCTGGTTGTTCAATAATCCGATGTAAACTGCTTGATTAAAAGCCGCTTGCAATCGGTCAGACTGAAGCGGTTTGTTGGTCCTGTAGTAGACAATGAAGCCATGAAAATGCGGATTAGGAGCCAGCCAGATTCGAAGTGTTTGTTATCATTACAATTACAGATTTTGACGCGGTAGAGGTACAACTATACATGTTTACTTTGCAAGATATGCAAAATTATGATCGATTTTTCAGATCTCGGCGGATCCTCCAGATATTAACATCCTTCCTGAGTATGGTAATGATCCAAGAATAGTGACCAATCTCATTGATGGGGTTTTTCGCACCAGGTAAAATGTTACTCTTCTCAACAACTTACGCGATTGTATGTTTGTACCTGCTAACAGGAGATGTGATGGGTGACTTATCGCATTATTACATTTTATTGAAAGGGATGATATGCATCTTTGGCTGGCTCCGTTCACACCTGGAGGAAAACATAGTATCAGTATTACGTTTGCTGAAAGCACAAGGATCGCCATGATAAGAATATGGGTAAGCTCTTCATACGTTACAGGATTTCGTCATAAAAATCTGTTGCTCAATTTCACTGGCTGTATTTTCATAGCCTAAGAGCAGCCCTCATCAATAGCGCTGCAGGACGCGCGTTTCTCCACCGAGGGAAGATTGGAAACGAGTCGGGGAGAAGTTTGCCGGGGGTCTGACCTCATTAATAGAAGACTTAAGCAGAGACGTTTTTGAGAAGCGGACGGCAACCGGAAGGAGAATAAAACTAACTCTGGCGCGCTTTAACGTTAATGCATCGACTGTAAGTTCTGCGTTTTAGCATTTTGAACTAAACTGTACTGACCAAAAAGGTGTATTGAACAGCTGGAATAAGAGCTGTTAACTTGCGGCTGTCGTCACCAAAAAGGTATACTGAACAGCAGGAATAAGAACTGTTAACTTCCGGCTGTCGTCACCAAAAAGGTATACTGAACAGCAGGAATAAGAACTGTTAACTTCCGGCTGCCGTTTGCTCATCAAAAAACGATGGTGCTTAAGCTCCTTGTTATCAGTCCCAGGCCCATTGCAGACCTCTCCCCGGCTTGCGTTGCTGCAGGCCCCATACTTTCCCTCGGGTAAAAGGAAAGTGCATACTGATTGGCTAACAATGAACGCCTGTTCGTAGGCAAGAATATTTTTGATCCCGGATATTTCTGTCTACATAGAAAGGTTTAGATGTCCAGGGCATAGACGAAAGTTTTCTCTAGTGGATAGTATTCCTTCTACTTGTGCATTGTAATCTGGCTAGAACATGAAATGAATTTTCAATTTTTTTCCTTCCAGAATTACAACAAATCAAGAATTCACTCCTTCAGAGGAGTACGATGTATTGATTTGACCCTGGATGGGAGCCTGATATTTCAGGGAGAAATCGCACGGTATTGTGTGCTCCTCGTTTGTGTATAACTATTTGTGTGTTTACAGTTGAGACTTGTCTAGGTTTGTCTATTTCGTGTGACAAGAGGCAGAAACAAAGATCTGTTGATGATTACGCTGTCTGTGACTGAGTTACAACGACCCCGATTTGTTCTTTGTAGTTTGTTGCATCCTTCTATCCCTTCTTTCAGGGCAATTTTTTGCTGTGTGTCGAACGTTCCTCGATTATTTTGGATTTGTTTTAAGACACTTACCCGCTCAGTAATTCAGAAGCACAGGTTAACCTATCGCGATTTGGTCACGGACAAACTTCCCTGCTTTACACATTCCGTTTTTGTGAGCTCCCTTTAATAGTTACCTTTTTCCGGATTGGCCGTTGAGGTGACTTTGATCTCGATTTTATGACCATTGGAAGAAAGTTATCTTTTTTTGTAACCTTGAGTGCGCTCTTTTAAACTGCAGAGCCAGTGGTGTCCTTGGAACTAATTATGCCTTTGGCGACGTAAGTAACCAATTAGCTGGTATAAAAAGAACTATTTCAAAAGGCTTTTAGTCTTTATTTTTCTTGTATTGGTTTTATTTCGACGGTTCTATTTTGATATTGGAAAACACAAAAAGCCATATTACTTACATTGTTGGCATAGTTAATCATTTGGAAAGGCAAACTTTTCAGTTGCTTTGAGTTGCTCGAGTAAAGTAACTCTTCAAGCAGTTTCTCGAGTTGTCGATGATTCAAGTTTATGACGTTATCCCCTCTGAGCGAGTTACCTACCTGATAATAATAGCTTTTCGTCACAGTCCTAAGAAACATACATGCCTCTCCTTAATATACTTATGATTTACTCGGGAAGTTTCATTTTCAGGCGAGAAAATCACGCAAAGCACAAGAATCCTAAGTATCACTTTTCAGTAGACGTACTACCCTCCTCCTAAACTTCGGTTAGTTGTGTTCTGTAATTACTCTCTGCCTTTTAACAGACAATTATGTTCACGATGGATGAAGACATACTAGAAGCCATGGCTCAGTATGACCAGACGTATGAGGGAGACGAGGAGGACGAAGACGAATTACTAAGGAGCTGTTACTTTGAACGGCCGTCCACTGCTGATCAGGCAGAGGAAGAGGTTAGACGTGCACAATTGATTAGATCTGTTGTCATGTAGTCCGATGTGTTGAGCTCCCCACGTCTGTCTGCGGACAAAAGAAACTCCCTCCAGAAAGAAGCCTTATGTATGAACGATATAATTATTTTCACGTTTGTGGCTTCTTGATTATATGAAAAAAGGCTGCGCTTACAATTAAAGAAATTGTTTAGGTGAAGAGATGTTGTATTTTTTTAATCAGTCGCGATAAAATAATGATGTTCACCACCCCATTCCCCTGTATAAAAATTTATCGTTGGAATATAAGATATAAGTCCTCTACCTCACTTACTTTGCTGATGCACC